GAAGTGGTGGTTAAGGCAGCTGGATTCCACGTGGCTGGCTGCTTGGTTTGAGTCCTGGACCTGGCAGGTGGAAAAACATACCCAGTGTACATACGTCCATGTAACATCCTGGGAGGAGAATGGAGAAGGGAGTGCCATCTCCCCAGGGATGTTTTCTCACCTTCCCTCCCTCTCCCTCCCTCTTTCTCCCTCCCTCTCTCTCTCTCTCTGTCTGTCCCTAGCAAGTGCATGTGTCCTATCTCAAACAAAAAACAGCAAATACGAAGTCGCTTCTTCTGAAACTTGTCGTTGCAGACAATGTCCCAGGACTCAGGGCTCAAGTGCTTGGACACCTCGTCCCCCTCATGTGCTCACTCCCCTTCTAGCATTTTTAAAAGAGATTTTTGCTATAGAGCATGTGCGCTCACCAGGGAGACAGAGACAGAGAGACAAAAAGCAAGAAATCACCCCCCAGAGGAGATGGCCACACCACAATCCCTTCTCCTCCTGGGATCTTGGGCACACACGTGTGCACACACACACACCTGGTTACGTGGGAGTTCAGGTTATGCCCTCTGCTGGTCCCCTTCCTACTTTTTAGGGGAAGGGCAGGAGAGCCAGGGCCCGCCGGGCAGGCAGTCTGCAGGCCTCACGTGGTATCAGAGCTGCTGTGCACCTCCGCGACAGCAGCCGTGACGGGAGAGCCTGGAGGTGCCTCCAGCACTCGCTCTCTAAGCCATCTTTTGGTCCAGGACCAGGGCTGGGGGGCGGCGTGGGGCAGGCTGGCAAGCCCGTCCCGCTCCCTCTGCCCTATCGTCCATGCCAGAGCAGCCAGTGTGGGGCAGGCTGCTGTTCTCTCACGACTGTCCCCCGACAGCCCCCTCATTAGCTAGGCGGTCAGAGACGGCACGATACCTTTGACCTTGAACTCATAGAGCCGTCCAAAGCCAGGCCAGTACCTTGGGCTGCTTTAATAGCAGAGGCTCCCGGTTGCGAGAGGCCGGAAGCGAAACAGCTCTCTGCGTACAGGTGGCTCAGGGTCACTGGAACCAGCCCGTCCTCTGGCTGTGCACGTCACAGAGACAGCAGGAAGAGGCAGGGGCGACGAGAAGTCGTTCTGCCCTTCAAACCAGGAATGTGACCCAGATGATCAGCATCGGAGATTACTCCTGCCCTGGGTCTGAGAGCCATGGCAGGGGCAGAACAGAGTGGTAAGCCGTCCCCCGGGTGCAGGTCAGAGCGGTAAGCCATCCCCCAGGTGCGGGTCTGGAGCGGTAAGCTCTTTCCCCGGGTGCGGATCGGGAGTGGTAAGCCGTCCCCCAGGTGCGGGTCAGAGCAGTAAACCCTCTCCCCGGGTACGGGTCGGGAGCGGTAAGCCCTCCCCCAGTGTGGTCAGGAGCCGACTGGAGGAGTCACGTGTAGTCCCAGAGCTCACTGCCACTGGCAGCTGGTGCTGGTCCCACTTTACAGACAGGTGCGAGGCTCAGAGGCCACAACTGCTGTGTTGTAGTCAGGACAGACTCTGATGGTGGAAAGAGAGGATGGGTGACAGGGGAAGCCTCGGGTCTGGTATCTAGAAGGAAGGGCATGCCCTCTGGAACCAGCTGCTGGAACGTACACTCACCCCCTACACTTGGCAGGAAGGCCTAGTCTCCCGCTAGGCTGGGAGAGGCCAGCACCGTGACTTCTGAGCATCCTGGGACAGAGGGAGAACCCACGTGTGGTTGGGCTGGGCTTATGGGGTGTGAACACGTCCCATGGAAGCAGCCAGAAGATAGACTTGAAAGAGGACTTCCTGGCAAGGGGAGCTGCCATGAGCCCTGGTGGGGGAGTAAACCCTGAGATTGTGCACCAGGTGGCCATGTAGGGGTGTGTGTGGAGACCAGCTCATCTGAGCAAACAAGGTGACCTTTAGACATACAGAAATGCAGTTTCCCTAAGCTTCATTTGCAAAGCAGTGAAAATGTTTGCATACGAAAATGCTAACTGCCTGTTGTTGATACCCACAGAGCAGTGTCATGTTAAAGGAAGCCACGTGTGTTTAACAAATCTTGCCCCAAAAAGATCAGAGAAGCTACATGGCACCAGCCCGCATCTTCAGACGATTTACATTAAACAACTGGCTTTATATCCCACTTCTTCTTCCCCCTTTAAAAGAATAAACCCGAGGCCGGTTTGGGTCACAGCTTTTTGTTAGGGAAGTCCACGAGACCCTGACTTCACTGTATGTCTGCGTCTTTGAGTGTTTATTTTTATGTTTATTTCTAATCCACAGCCTCCCTCTGAGGAAAAGCGCATTCTGCCGAGTGGGTCTCAGCAAAGTGGCACCCAACATGGGGCCAAGCACAGGGTAGGAGGCAAGTGGGCATTCCTTGAAGTGTTTATTTCTAATCCACAGCCTCCCCACTCAAAAAAACCTGTTCTCCTGAGTGGGTCCCAGCAGGTGTGGGGATTCAGGGGCCCGAATGTGGAGGACACCGGTCCTGAGTGAGCCCCCAGGGGCTGGGCCTTGCCACAGTCCCTTCCAGCCCATTCTACCGTGTATAGTGGCACATTCTGTTGTTGTTTTGTGGGGATCTTTGTGTGCCTTTTAGAAAACCCTGGGTGGAGAAACAACCTCCTGAAACTCTTCGAGGTTAGACGAGACTGGCACCTTGGCTTTCTGCCCTAGGCCCGAGTGCTGACGGCTAGTCCTCTGCCAGGTCCCGAGCACTTTTCCTGGAGTGACCCAGACCTGCTGTTAGTCAGGGGTTCCAGAAGGAGACTGAGGCCAGGGCCGGAGCCACAAGGCAGGGGCGAGGGTTCCTGAGCGGTTTAGGCTGCCAGCAGAAGGAGCACCATGGAGGGGAGCCTGGTCCTATGAGGGCAGGGCAGGGCAGGGCAGGGCAGGGCAGGGACGGGACAGGACTTCCAAAACCTCGTGACTAGATAAGGGTGAAGCGAAGGAGGGAAAAACAGGTAACATAAAGAAACAAATTTCGGAGTGAAGGGCTGCAGTAAGGGGCAGGGCAGGGCAGGACAGAGTGGAGAGCTGCAGTGAGGGGCAGGGCAGGGCAGGGCAGAGTGGAGGGCTGCAGTGAGGGCCAGGGCAGTGCAGAGTGGAAGGCTGTAGTGAAGCAAGGAGAGACTGAGTGAGCCCAGCCCTGCTCCTCGCCCCTACCTCAGCTGAGCTGCTGAGGGACCTGCAGCTTTTCAGCACAACTTCAGAGGGAAGGCGGGCAGGGCTATCCGCCCTTCCGCTGGCCCTCCCACAGCGGTCAGGCCAGGCTGGCCCAGGGCAGCAGGGATGCGACTGGGCTGAGAATCAGCAGGTGTCTCAGAACGTCCAGCAGGTGACAAGGCCCCTGAATCGCCCCACCTGGGGCCAGATGAGGCGTCTGGCTCACAGCAGAGCTGTTCTCAGGGTAAGCAACTGGAGAGAGCCTCGCCCCAGCTAGAGCGGGTCCCACTGAGCACCTTCATTTCCTTCCCTGAGCCATTTTTTTAAAGTAGAATTTCTATAAAACGACAGATTTTCCAATCGCCTGTTTTCTCTACGGGCTCGTAATGACAGTAGCTGATGGTGTCGTTAAAAGCACAAGTTAGAATGCAGGAACCGGCGTCTAACGTTCTCCCGGGCAGAAGCCCCCACCTTGTACATCAGCCGACCCCGTTCCAGGCTCTGCGTGGGTACCTGGGTCACAGTGTGAGCGCTTCTTTTCCTTTCTAGAAATTCAGCTTCAGGGACACTGGTGACACAGCTCTGAGATCTGAACTCCGCCAGCCGGTCACACGGGAGGTCCGGATTCGATCCAGTTGTCCCAGGGCTGGTGCTGCAGTGCCTGGCTTCAACCCCAGTGACTTGGGAGGCTGAGGCAGGAAGGTTGCACTCCAGGCCGGCCTGGGCTAGCAGGAAGGTCTCCTGTGAAAGAGCCAGGCCTGGAGTCCCGGGAGGGCAGAGGCAGGGAGAGCACAGCCGCAAGACTGTCTTAAAAGAAAGAAAATTCGGACACGTCATTTTATGCCGTAAAGTTGACGTTGAAATTGCACCTGTCTTCCTTGGCCCCGGAGAGACGTCCCATCACCCCCGTCTCACTCCTGCACCCTTCCAGGCCCCTCACCATGACGGTCCCGCTGGCCGGAAAGTCCCATCCACTGTGCACGTTTGGCAAGCCCGGGGACCCGCCGTGTGCTGCCGGGCCCTCAGACAGAACCGGCTTCCTCCGATGGCTGCGGGGTCGGGCCAGAGGCTGGCGTTTTAGCGCGAGGGTGCTGACCTGGCCTGCCTTTGCTCCGCTGTGCCCTTGGGCTCTTCAGCTTTGCTGTGCATGTGTGTGTGCGCACATGTGTGTCTGTGTGTGCATCTGTGCGTGTGTGTGTGTGTGTGTGTGTGTGTGCGCACGTGAGAATTCTGACCGCACTGCCTTTATAAATGCAGCTCGTGATGGCGTGGCTCCGAGTCCACCCCGCTGGAGGTCAAGCGGCCTGTGGCGGGTTCTGTGGCCCTGGCGGGTTCTGTGGCCCTGGCGGGTTGTCTTCATGGAGGGCCAGCTCCAGGCTCCCAGCTCCCAGGTCACCCAAGGACAGGTGTGTCCCCCAGTACTCTGGAAAGAGGCCACCCAGAATCCCTTAAAGTGTGGCCTGAGTAACACAGAGCTCTCCCACGGGAGGATGCTCGGTGGCCCGGCCAGTCCTCTGGCCTCCCCACCGCGCTGTGCCATGCCGCTCACTGCTTCTCCAGGGCTCGCCCCTAGGTCTGAGTGCCTGGGATCTTGGGCACACACAACACACGTGCCCGGTATGAGTTTAAGCCACCGGGTCTGGGATTCGGACCGCGGTCGGCTACATGGGAGTCCCGTGACAGCCATTATGCCAACTGCTGGTCCTGCTTGTTTGTTTGTAAAGGAAGGAAAGAGGCCGACTGGCGGCATGGAGGTTAAGGCAGCTGATCCGACATGGCCAGCTGGGCAGCTCTGGGCCCAGCAGCTGAGGGACACACCGGGCCGCAGTGCCCCCACGCATGACCTGTCTGTCTCCCACAGGTGTCCTCTCCCTCCCCGCGCACTTCAGTCCCTACGACGGCGGGTCCCTGGGCCGGGACGAGCGGGCCGACGCCTACGCACAGATGGAGCTGCGGACGCTCGAGCAGTCCCTCCTGGCCACGTGTGTGGGCAGCATCTCAGAGCTGAGTAAGCGTGGCGGCCGCGGTGGGCAGGGTCTGAGGGGCGCAGGCGGGAGCTGGCCTTCCCGAGTCTTCCGCTGCCTCCTTCACGCTCCTCAGCTTCTCTGAGTGCTGGATCATTCCAGGCCGGTGCTTGCGAGCAGGCGTCAACAGCGTGAGCATTCCGGGCCGCACGCGACCTGGTGCGCCTCGTCCAGGCCGCTAGTGTCTTCAGAAAGCCCAGCTGAGGGGCCGGCGGGTGGCGCGGTGGTGGAGGCTCTGGACTCCCACGTGGCCCACTGCAGTTCAACCCCGGAGCCGCTTTCTCACTCCCCCTCCTGTCTCCTGGTGAGCCCACGTGAGGGAGAGGGTGCAAGGACCTAGCTAGGTGCCCATGCCCACAGGGTGGCAATGAGGGGTCTGGGGCAGCCCAGGATGGAGCACCCCCACTGCTCACAGCTGGCCCAGCAGGGAGCACTGAGCGCCGGGTTCAGACACAGGAAGCTAGATGCGGGTGCCGCTGGCTGAGGGGGCCGGGGCGGCTCCCAGGTCTCGGGCTCATGGAACACGTTGGGAAGCCCCTGGCGAGTCGGGACCACCTCGCAGCGGCTGCGGGAAGCGTTATCAGGGGACAGCAGGCCCTCCTGCCCCCGGTGACCCCGCTTGTCAGAGCAAGCACCAACACGCTGGCCCCTCAGGGCCCGGGGCCGAGCCAGCAGGGGCCCCTTCGGGTTCCTAGCCCTGATGTTGGGCGGCGGGCTCTCCTCCCGCCACTCTCCTCTGCACCACGGCCACGGCACAGTTCGAGGCCGCAGACCAGATTATAACAGGACGAGGCAGGCAGGACTTCACCTGGGTGTCACGGCAGCCAGGGCGGCACACTCTGCCTGGGTCCCACCAGAGGGGCCCGAGGACGTGGGCTGTGGAGGTGGCCTGGTCCTCACTCCCAGCACATGTCTCTTGGACAGGGGGCTGTTCTAGTGCCACATACAACCCGACAGTGAGGACACAGCCCTCCCCCCTCCGGAGAGCACGGCTCTATCTTGTTCTCGAGTGTTAGACGAGCATTTGCTGAGTGCAAGAGCCCGGGCCGAGTGCCGAGTCACGGGTCTCATTTACTCCTCGGAGCGCTCAGGGAGGCTCCCAGTTCATCAATAAAACCGAGACCCTCCTGAACCCCAAGATGTAAGCGTGAACAGCTCCATCATCCCCACTTGGATTGGCGGCTCCCGCCCAGCACCTCCCACCCCAGGGCCTTTGCACCGGCCCCTCCCCTGCTAGTGACGTTTTCTCCCAGACACACAAGCCGGTGGCCCTCCCCAGTGGTGCCTGATGAGACTTTGTCCCTGAGTTCCCAGGGAAGTGGGCTCCCGCTCTCACCCACATCTGCCCGTAAAGGCTTCAGTCCTGTCCAAAGCACTGAGCACCTTGACGCTGATTAGAGATTTCCGTGTAAAGAGCTTACCCTCTCCGCGGCTGGAGGGTCCGCCTCGTCAGGGCAGGCCGTCTCTTCCCTCTGCGGAATCCCCAGTGTGTGCGCATGTGTGCATGTGCGTTCCCCCACAGGCGTGTCTGCATGTGTGTGCACTCCCCCACATGTCTGCACGTACATGTGCCCAGGCGTGTGCACAGGGAAACAAGCCCTGTCTATTTGCTGTGTGGCTCCCAGACCATGCCTGGACCTGGCCCACGTGCTGGTCCAGCCACCCCGGGACAGAGGGAAGGCGCGTCCCTGCAGCGTTTTCTCACGACGGCCGCAGGACAGGTGCCGCACGCCCGGCACGCCGGCCGCC